GAACTCCGCTCACTCCACACCAACCGACCGCTTATTACAGTCAAACGCCTTCTCTTCGCCGAACGCCTCAACCCTCGAACCAAACGCCACACTCTATGCCCACAACTCCTCTACCATTTATGACTCCGAAAAGCAATTATCAAACGCCGACTGAAGGTCACAGTCAGACGCCGGGCGGCGACCACTCGTGGGCACAACAGGAGCAGCAGAACAGCGCTCTTAAACAGAAACAACAGATTCAGAACGAAATCCTGCGAAGTGTTGGCGCCGGACATTACGAAGAGGCCATCACTAAAGCCCTCAATCTTCGCGATCCCGAACTTGTGGTGAAGATTTGCGAACTCTTTAAGGAGAATCCCTCGCACATCATAAACCGCGTCAAATCCGATCAATTGGTTTTGATATCACTTCTGCAGCAAATTATCTTCAATAAGACCAACGCATTCACTGAAGACATGTTCTGGAAAACTGGTTTCATTGAACAAATCATCACTAATTTAGATCTGGAGAATCAGTTTGTGGTTAAGATATTGCCGTCTTTGGCGCCCAAATTGATCCAAATGTTGGACATTATATCGAAGGCAGCGAACGGCCCGATGGGAGAAAAGGCTAAAATATTATCGTTTACTTTCAAGAATTTGCGGCTTTAGAGCCATATTATAAATGATTGCTAGAAATTGGTATCGTTTTCAATGATTTGCGATAAATTTAATTTTCGTTTATAAAGTGATGGAATTCTTATATATCATGTATTCATTTGACATTATATTTGTTTATACAGTAATACGAGCTGTGATTATACAGTATAATATTTGCGTTAATTTACATTTTCTTTTATTGTTTAGTATTTCTTCTTTATTTTTGATTTGCATTCACAATATATTTGACATTAAATTGACGCCAATTTTAAGCGATATATAAATGAGTGTATAATGGAGTGAAACGCTGTGAATATTGTGAAAACTTCTTTTCCAATAATAACTAATTTGTATAAGAATTGTAAGCATTATATATATTCAACATTCTTGTGAATATTTCCCTAAAATTACAAATAAATTTCAAGTTTTGAGAAATGGATTATGAATTGAAACAATCATTTAAGTGAGTATTGATTGGCAGCGAGTGTGTGGCCGACAAGTGCTTGAGTGAGAGAGAGGTAATGATGATCACTGGCTGTGGAGGAAGTGTTATGAGGAGTGCAATGGAAACGGGAAAACAACAAACAAAATAAAACAAAACTAAATTTAAATTTAGTGAAAAAACGAGTTCATAATAACCGGAGATTTGAAAACTAGTATTTTTTTGGTGGACTAAAAGACCCATTGGTTTTGTGGAGAGAGGAGTGCATTGACTCTTACTACTAGGGTTGGAAAAATACACACAAAACTATTTGGAGCTTTGTACAGTACAATGTATAATACAAAAAATTTTCTATTACTGTTACACAAGGATTTTTACTTACTATGGGGAAAGAATTAACGTGTCTTAAACCCAAAAATTAAGCAATTTTAATGCATTTTTCTTATTAATTATACATATGATATCATTTTAATCACTAATTGTTTTACATTTGATGTATTATTATTAATATTAGTAATTACAATTAATTTAATGAAATTTAAGCAAATTAAAATTTTAATATTCGAGCAAGTGTCTTTCGAGCAATGACTTTCGAGCAAGTGTCTTTCGAGCAAATGTCTGCCTCCCACAAACTTTGTATATTCGCCAACCCCTACTCACAACACATCAGTATTGGTGTCGACTCTCTCTCTCCCTCTCAAACACACTAACTATTGGAGTGAATGAATGCATGCATTGATTGCATTGAAAAGCGTTGTGTATTTCGTAAACACTTTTTATTAGCAAAAATACATTTAACTATTGATTCACTCATTATATTCAACAGTAATCGTGTTTTAGTGTTGTTTTGTTAACAATTAATTCATTAATAATCCCCAAAATGTAATCACAATTTGCATTGTCTTACCATAAGATACAGTGTTATTGTTATTACTCTATAGAGTGTATGAATCCGTTATAATCAATACAAATGTGATATGAATTTCACTGTTATTTACAAAACATACCATAAATTGTAATCACAATTGCATTACATTTGCTGTGATTTTCTCCCAATTATTAATAATAATTAACATTTATTTTACTTTTAAATCGCTTTTAGTTTTTATAAATTGCAAAATCAAAACACATATTAATTACACATAAATAATAGCATATATTTTGCCTACAAATGGATTGTGTGTTAAATTGTTAAGTGATTTATTATTAAGTGTCACCAATTGAGTCGACCATCGATTACAAGAGGACCCGAAAGCCGACTAATAATTGACGTCAAATGCGATCAAAACAATGGAAATCAATTGCATTGAATTGAATGACAACGAGAGGCAACTCTTCAGCCAATTGTTCACATATTATGCCGATTCGGAGAACTCGCAGATTGTCCACAAATCGGTGGCCAAACATCTGCTCTCGTCGTCCCAATTGGACGCCAATGTGTTGGATCAGGTAATAGTGATGTTGTCAGTCATACATACGCCCCCATATGTGGCGGTCATGTCTGATGGTTGAGATGAATGGCTAATCAATTGATTTGATGTGTCTCTTGCCAACAGATCCTGGAGCTGTCGGGCTCTTCGAGTGTGCCATCGCTATCACGGCATCAGTTCTACTCAATGCTCAAACTGGTCGGCGCCGCACAATCAGGTCTTCCCCTAAACACACACACACTGACCGCCAATTCCTTGATTATACCATTGCCTCAATTGTCACCAATTAATTGGGATTTGACTAATAAACACAAACTCATGGCTAATAACGGGTAAAACACATTTTTCCAGTACTTCTTATTCTTGTTGTTGTTTGCCTTCAGTTCTTCCTCTAAAGGCATTACAAAGTGATCTCATTTTTATAATACTAAAGCATATTATATAACATGTATTGATGTGTATTCAGACATTGATTATATCATACAATTTATATGTTACATAATTATCTCTCTTGGAGTGAATTTTCACATCACTTAAGCTTTGATTAATTGTTGTTATTATATATTATAGTCTACTCTAAATGACATGATTTCTGAACGTTAAATGTCTTAATATTTATTTGGCAAACATTTTCTGTTAGTCTCGAAAATGTCATAAATTATTATATAATAAATGAGATATTATTTTAACAATTTTTTCTCTCTTATACTGATGTGAGGTTTGCCGACAAAATCAGTTAATAATATTTAGATTAGATGTGAGTCTAAAATAGTGTTAATATATTCTGACAATTAATTAAAATTTGTGCTAAAATTATATTTACTTTTATTTCCCTAAAAAAGTGGAATTTGTTTTGATTTGATAAATGTATTTATTATCAAATATTGATTATCTGATTGTATTATTTGCAGTAATTGTGAGACAAAGACTGAGTGCCCGATAAGCAACCAAATGAGTGGTTCAATACCTCCTCCGCCCACCAAATCGACGGTACGATACAATCGCCGAAACAATCAGTTCTCGACAAACAGTGATAATCGACAGCCAATTCAGACCACAAATAATTACAACTCGCTCTCCAATAACCACACAAATAATGAGCAAAGTATGGATTCAATGCACCCATTGTTATACACTTATATTCATTTATGTCTCTTATGTCTGTCTTTTAGGTGAATCGACTGTTTCCAGAAGTTCTTCGGAAAATGATTTAAACGAATCGCCAATTGATCCCAAAATTGAGAAATCCTATAATTATAGGGACAAGAGTTGGTCTGAATTTGGCGACAAAATTCAAGACAAACCCAAAAATTGGGCCGATTTTGAAGAATCGCATTATTTATTGGAGAACGAAGAGGAAGAGGACGACGAAGAGGAGGCAAAAAGCAATATCTCATCGGAAGACGACTCCGCAGACATCTTCGCCATTAGTGATGATCAGAGAGCCTATTATACGAATCAATTCAAATCGATTCAAACCAATCTAAACGGAATAATAACCGGCAATAAAGCGAAAGATTTCTTTGAGAAGTCATGTCTACCGATCCAAGAGTTGTCGCAGATATGGCTGCTGTCGGACATTGACAAAGACGGAGCCCTAACGCTCGACGAGTTCTGTATAGCAATGCATTTAGTGGTTTTGCGCCGCAATAACATCGATCTTCCCTCACAATTGCCTACAATTATGTTGCCTTTGGTTTCGATGGTCGCCGACACCACAGATGGATATACTGTTCCCATACCACAGATCACAGCCATTACAGGCGCCGCTTTGGTCACCGATTTGGTGACCGATTGCGATAATAATTACGAAACACAGTCTCCTTCTCAACAAAACAACGATCTCAGCGATAGTAAGAGCAAAGACGTCGAAACACTTTCTCCGCAAAACAAACAGTGGACTAAATTTACGGATTCGCCGACCCATCAGATTGTGGCCACCGCTACGACCGCCGCTATCTCTCCGCCGAGCACTTCGTCGAGCGCTGGACTCCAAACGTTAGCCAATTTTGACTTTAATGCGGCCTCTATTGGAAGAGATCCAAAGATTTTACATCCCGTGGCTTTGCGCCTATCACCAGATGGACAGCCTATAAGACACAATAGCATTGAGACCAATCATAGCGTTGATGTTCACCCCGATTCTATTCGGTGAGTGGTTTTGTTTAGTAGTTATTTATTTCAAATATTTATTTATTCATTGTTTGAACAGAACATCGACTGTAGTTCAGGGCAAGAAAGACCCGCCGCCGCCACCGCCTCCCAGACCCGCAAGAAGTCATACAAGAAGTTCATCACTGGATTTAGACAGACATATGGTTCGTTCTCATGGCGGCAATGATCTCATCTCTTCTCAAATGCCCGTTCACTTAAAAATATCCAATTCTGAGTACACATTAACCCCTCCAAAAGGTATTCATTCAATATATCTTTTGATCCATTGATTGTATAACAAAATGGTTATGAAATGATTGAAAATGAATTGTTTTTGTCGAACAGTGCTTTCAATACACCAGCAAAATGTGGGCGCATTCCACGCCTATAGGAAGACCAAAACAGATGCTAGTCTTGCGAAAAATACAAATAATCTGAACAATAGTAACAATTATGAGGTCGAGAAGTTGAGGAATCGATTCAAATTACCACCAGAAGTGCCCATTCCTAAGTACGTCTATACCCAAGTGTTGACTATTTTCTATACAATATTCATTATGTTTTGATTGTTTTGCAGAAACCCTTCGGACACAATCGAGTTGTGGAAAACAATTAAATCATTACAAGAATACAGTAAAACGTTAGTTGATTTGAATAATGAATTGCTTCTGGAAGTGATTAAAGTTATCGAAGATAAACATTGTCTGGAATTACGTTTAGCGCAACTAAATAATGGATACAAATCGTGATTTGGATTTAACTCTTTTTGTTAAGTTTTTAATTATTTTGCGAAAACATTTCAAAAAATGTGAATTTCTCTCTTTTTTATTTGGATTTACAGTCAAATTATATTATATGAAAATTATATTTATTTAAAGATTTTAATCATTTTTAACAAAAAAACTTATTTATTATTTAAATGAAATGATCAATAATTTTGTTTTACTATTAATATAATCATTAAAATATGTTTTGTATAATAAAATAGGTTTTAGAAGAAAAATATTCTGTTTATTGTTTATTCATTATTGTTGTAATAATGGACTCAAAATATTTAAATTATTTTGTTTTAAGAAGTAATGAATTCATGAGTGGATTTGCAGTAATGCCAACCAATATAATTCACTCATTTTCAACAGTAATCATGTTTTAGTGTTGTTTTGTTAACAATTCATTAATAATGCCCAAAATGTAATCACAATTTGCATTGTCTTACCATAACATACAGTGTTATTGTTATTACTCTATCAATGGATCAAAAGATATATTGAATGAATACCTTTTGGAGGGGTTAATGTGTACTCAGAATTGGATATTTTTAAGTGAACGGGCATTTGAGAAGAGAGACATATATAATCAATTGAATTGCGAGATAATTATAACATTTGTTTTATTTTGAAATAAATTAAGTTTATATTGAAATAGTTGTTTCAAATAGAAATTAATATAATTTAATTGTAAATATTAATAAATATGAATACATATAAATATTTAATACATTTATTAATAATATATTTCCCAAATTTAGCCTCATTTTGAGTTATCGAATAAAATATATAGAAATTTTCAAAAAAATAAAAATTCTTCATCGATATGAATAGATGTCTTTGGAATATATCATTGTTTCTCATTGTTCTCATCGTTGAGTGAAATGAGTTTTTCATTCAGTTTTTGAATGCATTGTTCGAGACTTAACGACGAGATCTCACTCTTAATGGACTGATAGGCGTCGTTAGTATTGGCGTTAGAGTTGGAGTCGATGTCCGCTGTCTTCATATTGTAGTTATCAGTAATGGTTGTGATTTGGGTCGGCATAGCGTCTGAGCGGCGATCATCTAAACTACTATCACATTCAGCGTTATTATTAGCTGTAAGGCTATTGTCCGAAGCCTTCATCTGCATCTCATTCATCTGTTGGCCAATGCATTGAATGCTTTCCAGACAATCATTGGACACCTCGCAGACGGACCGCTGTGTCTCTGAATTGTTGTTCTCGTTGTTTGACATCACATTTGACGTCAAGTGGTATTGGTTTGTGGCCAGAGCTCTGTTCTTGCGGTGCACTTCTGGAGAGGAAGCAAAATCGCTGGAATTGTCGTTGAGATGATCGTCATCGCAGAGTTCTGTTGAACTACTGCTGGAACTGTTGCACAACGACTCGTTGGAGCCCTTCAGCTGTTGAGTCACCACAATCTCGATGTCGTCGACGGCGCCGACTGTGACGGCACTACACATACTGTCGTCGCCAGAGGTCTCGTCAAATGTGGTCAACACGGGTTCAGACATTTTTCGTTGAAATTTGTGCCGTTTCTTCTCTAACTTGATTTGTGTCCACGAAATGGTTTCGCTTTCGTTCCCCTCTTTCACCTCTTTATCGCTTTTCAACAATTCGTTTGCATTATTCTTGTGATTATTCTTATGATTATTATTATTGTTATAACAATTTGTTTTATTGGCAAACAGATTGGCCACAGTATTGGATCGGTTGCGCAACACCTTCTTGGGCTCATAGTTGGCTCGGGTGGCCGTCTGGATGACAGGCGACGGCCGTTTCGGTCGCTTCGCTATGAGTGCCGTCTTTCCCAACAACAGGTGATTCATAGTCAGCGGCTCTTTCTTAGCGAAGGCACTCGAGTTCGCTCTCTGGAAGCCTTCTATAGAGTGGGCAAACAATATAAGACATTAGCAACTGATCCCGAAATCGATCACGTATTGGACATACCAGTGATGATGACCTGTGCTTGTCGTTGGCGTTCCTTGAGTTTGGCGTATTGTTTCTTCAACAGTGATATATCTAATGTCATTCTTTGCGGATCAATATTAGTGGACGACAAGAAATTATTGGCAATTTGTGCGGCGCCCCCACCGGTGCCTCCGCCGCCGCCCACCATATTGTTGGCTAACAATGTATTACTGATCCTAACATTTTCCGAGTGCGGGGATGGCGTACGACTGGTCTGATCTGAATTGTATACATTTATATGCCATTAATGTTATAAATTCAATAAACTTCAACCAAATGTTTTATATCGCTTAATATAATTCAATCATTTCTATATTTAGATCAATATATTGTGTAGTATTTGTGCTCAAAGTCGAGATTCAGGTACTCTCGGGGCAAAGAAAGTGTTTTACGTAATCAAATATATGCTATAAAAAAAGCTTTTAAAACTTTATTTCCAGAGTTAAAACTTAATTTTAATCGTGAACTTAAACATTAATTCATCTGAAATACTTTTAGGGCAGTACAGGGATGTACTCAATGAAATTAATGTAATTAATTCAGTAATAAAAATCTATATAATTTTAAAATGCAAAATATTTACAATTGTAAAAATTAACAATGTCATTTACTTTGTAGAATGTACTAAACACAGAATTAGCACTGAATTTATGAATAATAAATAACATTTTATATGCCTATAAAAATATCAATTAATTTAATGAAAAGCCTTTTTATAGTTAATTAAATTATATATGAGTTTATATTGAAACGTCTCGTAAAAGATAGTACTGTATTGTAATAGTATTTAATAATAATAACAGTAATATTATATAAGAATATAATTATACTTTGAATTGTATTCGCAGAATTTATTAACCTATAAAAATACTTCACAACACATGAAAAATAAGTTGAATAACAAATACCTTTAAGTTTGCTGGAGTTGCAGGCATTGGTGACATACCAATTGGCTAACATCATCTGATCGTCGCCCACATCGGCCTCCTCTTCGTCGTCGCTCTGAAAGATCTGTAAACCCCTCTTCACTAAAGCGAACGATGAGGTGAGCGGTCGGATGTTATACATGTACTTCTCCCGCAACTCAGTTAGTTGTGGGAACGGAAACGGAGCCATTATGCAGATGGTCTGTCCAACACATACACAATCAGTGGCACGTATTTTATTATATCAAATGCTTATACAATATATAAGTTGGAGTACAAGTTGTATATTTAGTTTTAATGACAAATATTTATCACAAATTTGTGGTCACAAGAGATTGTGTTCACATTTACATTTCATTACTCTAATGTCAATATAAAAGCCCACAACCATTGATCGGTAATTCTATACCTCTCTTCGAATTTTGGTTAATACTTTGTAAATTACTTTGCAATCAATTATTCTCTATATATTTTTCTATACATTATATCTATTTTTGGTAATTCTGTTATTCCTCATTAAAAATATATTTTAATATAGTATTAATTTCAACAAATGTATTGTTTTTAAGTTACATAACGTAATAAGAGTAATTATAGATATGACACATACCTTAACCAATTCATTAGTATCTGTGACCCCAAACTCCATCATCTCTCTGGTGAGGACACCCATTATGCTATAGAATTCATCGGCGCTCTCAACAGTCAATATTCGGCTAAAAT